GTTCCGTGACGCCTCCGAGCGCGAGGTGGCAGCAGCGCCAGGGGAGGCGCGGGCCGACGGCCGGGTGGGGCGTGGCGGGAACGGCGCTGAGGAGCGGCGCACTCGGGGAGGCTGGGGACACGTGACCGGGGCGGCTACCGGCCTGGATGCTCGCCCAAGTGGAAGTGCCCGGTTGGTTCTTGGGATGACCCCCGCCCCCAGGGAATGCCTCCCCCTAACCCCTCAGGGCTGCAAATTCGTGCTAGGAATGGAGCCGGACTTTGCGGATTTTACCAACGCCCAGACGCGAGCGGCGGGCGGAAACTACAGTCCCCAGCATGCCAGGGTCCAGCCGGGGGTAATTCTCCAGGCGTGTGAGAGAACGAGGAGAATGCCGGGATCCCTGCGCGCACAGCTCTATGGCGCGCCAGTGCCTGGCCGGGAAGCTCCGCCCCCAACACCGCCTTTGGGCGGAGCAGAGGGAGGAGCTTCCCCGGAGATGCACCTTGCACCCTATTGGGAGGGCAGGGGGCGGGGATTCCTCCAAGGCGCAACTGGCATCTTGTAGCCTAGAATATTAGAAAAGCATGGTGCATGCTTTGCTCCCTGGCTTCTTTGAAGTCTCCTCAAATAGCAGCCACCCTCACTCGCTGTTCCCTTGCTCTGCTTTGGTTTCATAAATAGCTTTTATTTCCACCTGACACGTAGTCTGAACATGATAATGTGAGTTCATGTGTGTGTTACCTGACTTTCTGGCCCGGGATTAAACTCGATGAGTGCAGGGCCTTTGATTCATTTATTACTGAATCCCTCGCGTCAAAACAGTGCCTAGCAGGTCGAAGATACTCAGTAAATACTTTTTGAACGAATTATAGCGGTTTTTCATCTCGCAGTTTCTTCATCCTCTTTCCAAGCCAGTTCTGCGGCTGTTCTAGTACCTATTCGTTGCCAACACCTCTTGTTCTACCACTTCCATACATAATTTTCTAAGTCTTCAGAAACTCGTCAAGCCCTGGTCTGCTGACTCTCCATTCTAGCATCTCCCCTTAGGGTCATGAGAGAAATGATCGTGGGGAATTGCATCAATAATAGAGAGCTGCTTTCTGGAGCCAGTGGGCTTCAGCTGATTGTGTGTGAAATAATTCCATTTCAAAATCTATGCCAGATATAAGTAGGCATGCCGTGTTATAGTACATGTAACTCAAATGAATTAAGATCATTCAAAGTTTGGTAGAAATATAACCATGAAGAGATTGATGGATGATGACAATCCTTTAAAACAAAGGAGACTCAAAGAGTCTGAGGTGTAGAGGTCATGAACTCGGAGGCCTCAGTGGCCACGCAAAGAAGGAAGTAGAACTGGCGAGGCTATGTCCAGGGGCATTCTCTCTGTGAGTGAGTGGTGGCATGTGGCCTGTTGGTAAACACAGGCCCTTTACAGCTCCAGAGCACTGTTGTCATATTGGAATGTGGCCCATTGTTGCCAGAGTTCTAATTTTTCAAGAGAAACAAAAAAGCTGAGTGTTTGTTTTTCATTTTTAAAATTGACTAACACGTTTAATGCACTTCAGTGGTTCAGGAACTTATGAACTTCAGGCCCCCAGTTTGCAACACCTTATCCTGGTTCAATGCTTATTTGAAGGAAAAAAAAAAAAATCTACGATTTAGAATGAATGCTTCAACTGTGGTTCTTAAGGAAATCAAGGTTGCATGTTTGCCACTCCCTAATTCACTGAGAAGGGTGAGAGGCTTCTCAACTGTTTCTCAATCTCTATTATAATTTAGCAAGATATTCTCTTTTCAGTTCACCTTATTCCCTTCTATCACCTCTCTTTATCCTACCTGCTGTCATCAATCTCATACATCTTTCATCACTCATTTTAAAGTTTTTTATACACTTAGTGCTTACTATGTGCCAGCTGTTGTGCTAGTACTAGGATACATATGTAAACAAGGTAGCTGGTTTCTGCCTCCACACAACTTCATATCTATCAGAGAAAACAGAAAATAAAACAAGTAATCACCCCCAAAGTGTGGATGTTAAAAAAGGGGAAGGAAGCTAAAGGCTCACAGCGGAGAGACCTTTATAACCTGCCAACTTTTGACTCTTAACGTTTAAGGAATTCAGAGCAAGAGTGCAAATGGAAATCTACATATCATATGTTTAAATATTTAATTGTCAGCCTCAGGGGTCCAAGTGAGGGGAGAGAACCCAGGCACGCCCAAAGCAGCAGGGCGAGAGAACAGGAAAAGGGGGATTAAAAAGCCAGGAACCTAGACAGAGGAGCAGTCAGCCGCAGGGATCCAGGTGAGGAGAGGGAACTCAGGCATGCCCAAAGCAGCAGAGCAGGAGAGGAGGAGAAAGAGGATTAAAAGCCAGGAATGTGAACAGAGGAGCAGTCAAACACAGGGATCCAGGAAAGGAGAGGGAACTCAGGCACACCTAAAGCAGCAGGCTGGGAGAGTGGGAGAAAGGGGATCAAAATGCTCAGGAATCCAGACAGAGAAGGAGTCAGCCACAGGGACCCAGGTAAGGGTGGTACGAGAGGTTTCCAACAGGGATACAAACTTGTCTGTCGGTTTGTCCTACTGTGGTGACGTGTTGATGTGAGTTTTGAGGCTGAGCCACTGGTGTTTCAAACCCAGCAGGATACACATGGTGCACAGGTATCAGTGCAGCTTACAGACTGAGACAGACTAGGAAGAAGGAAGAGGCAGTCCACTTCTCAAAGAATTGGCCAGGGAAAACATTATGAATAGCAAAGAAGCACTGTCTGATACATTACCGTGCAGCTTTATGAATAGCCCGATTAGGTTAGAAGGCTCTCAAAATAGGACTGGGAAAGAGCTGCATCATCTGAGTAAACCCAGCCTTAGTCATATGGATAAGGTAAAGCTTTTGAAACCTCCATTTGCTGATGTGGCACCACTCAAATTGAAGAGAAACAGCTGCAGACATCCATTAATTATCAGAACATGGAATGTATAAAGTATGAATCTAGGGAAATTGGAAGTTGTCAAAAAATAAATGGAATGCATAAAGATTGATATCCTTGGCATTA